TATGTTGTTGTGTAAATGGAATAAACATAATTGATTGTATAGTTTAAACTACCATTGCATTCTTTTACACTTTTAATATATTAAAGCGTATTCTCACAATTTTCTTGTTGCTTTGTGTTGCTCTGTACATCGTCGTACAAAAACTCGAAAAGAGTAAGTGTTGTTGTGAGTTGGAAGATGATTTTGGATCTTTTCTTCGTCTATTTTATTGTTTTTCTCTATTTAGTTAGTTTAATGTTCTGATTTGTCTCATTGGAGAGCATAGCATTTATTTGGTTTGAGTTAATCATTGGATTATGTTAATTTCATTAAGTATTCGTGTTCGATGAGACCGTTGAGGTTTATGTTATTTATTTAAAATTTCTGCTGCGAGTTTTGAAACAAATTGGAAAATATGCCTGTTTCGTTTTGGGAAGTTTTACCTCATACCCCTACACTTATACCTATACCCCTACATTAAAAAATTTTGGACCAAAATATCCTCGTATAAAAATTTATTATTTTTTAATTTTTTTTATATTTTTTTATTTGTTTACCGGAAGACTTTTTGGAAGTCTTCCGGTTCACATTTTTTTAATATGTTTACCGGAAGACTTTTTGGAAGTCTTCCGGTACATATTTTTTTCGTTTGTTTACCGGAAGACTTTTTAGAAGTCTTCCGGTACATATTTTTTTCGTTTGTTTACCGGAAGACTTTTTGGAAGTCTTCCGGTTCATTTTTTTTTTTTAATTTGTAATTAATATTTAAGATTTATTAATTTTATATAAAGACCAATTTAGTAAATTTTTGAATATTATACTTAAAATATAAAAATTCTATAAATAGAAAATCAGTTTCTGAATATTTTCTATTTACTATAATTATTAGAATACTAGGATTAAAATCATTTATATTAAATGATCATAATAATATAATTTTCTCAAATATCTTATTAATCTTAAACATTAATAAATAAAATAAATTTAAATATAAGATATAAGTTTACATTATTCAATATATTTAATCAAATGAAAACATATGTGATAAATAAATAATGTATTTTAACTTAAAATGATCACAATAAGTTAACTTGCAAAATAATATAAGTAATAAATTAATAATATATTTTATTTAAAATAATCACAATAATAAAATACGCAAATAATGTATTTTATTTATAGGACTGCTATAGTTTTATTGATTATTTAATTTTGAATATTACTATAAATATAGTATTTAATCTATACTTTAGAACTCACATAATTATAAATATAAAAAATATTGTTTTATTACCCATATTCTTATTTAATTAAAAAAATAAGAATATAAATTTATTATTTGTTTTTCATTTTTGTTTGATCTTTTTAATTATTTCACTTTATTTAATATTTTTAATTAAATAAATAATATATTTTATTTAAAGTAAGCACAGTATAGAATATGCAAAAAATTTATAAATAAAAAAAAGATCAAACGAAAATGAAAAACAAATAATAAATTTATATTCTTATTTTTTTTAATTAAATAAAAATATGGATAATAAAACAATATTTTTTATATTTATAATTATGTGAGTTCTAAAGTATAGATTAAATACTATATTCATAGTAGTATTCAAAATTAAATAATCAATAAAACTATATCAGTCCTATAAATAAAATACATTATTTGCGTATTCTATTATTGTGATTATTTTAAATAAAATACATTATTAATTTATTACTTATATTATTTTGCAAGTTAACTTATTGTGATCATTTTAAGTTAAAATACATTATTTATTTATCACATATGTTTTCATTTGATTAAATATATTGAATAATGTAAACTTATATCCTATATTTAAATTTATTTTATTTATTAATGTTTAAGATTAATAAGATATTTGAGAAAATTTTACTATTATGATCATTTAAAATAAATGATTTTAATCTCATTGTATTCTAATAATTATAGCAAATAGAAAATATTCTGAAAATAATTTTCTATTTATAGAATTTTTATATTTTAAGTATAATATTCAAAAATTCACTAAATTGGTCTTTATATAAAGTTAATAAATCTTAAATATTAATTACAAATTAAAAAAAAATATGAACCGGAAGACTTCCAAAAAGTCTTCCGGTAAACAAACGAAAAAATATGAACCGGAAGACTTCCAAAAATTCTTCCGGTAAACATACGAAAAAAAAATGTGAACCGGAAGACTTCCAAAAAGTCTTCCGGTAAACAAATAAAAAAATATAAAAAAATTAAAAAATAATAAATTTTTATACGAGGATATTTTGGTCCAAAAATTTTTAATGTAGGGGTATAGGTACAAATGTAGGGGTATGAGGTAAAACTTCCTTCGTTTTGAATAGCAATGCTAAACTGCGGCTTTTGTCCTTTCAATTACGAATCGGGGTTTTAGGGTGTTACAATTCCGATCCTTTACTTGAACAAAAATACGAGGTTGAGGTTAATGAGTTCCCTAAAATTTTGCTGAAATTAGGGATCAAGAAGATATTAAAGCTTGATTACTCCCCTGTTGTAGAATTTACCTTAAAATTTTGACCTTGGTGAATATTTCTTTTCAATTTTACGCCAATTTTTTTCTTCCAACAAATTTTGGCCATTTGAAAATTTTAAGGATTTTAATTTGAGGTTCTTAGAGTTTGAAATTTTAGAATTTTATATTTTTTGAATTTTTTTTTGGAATTCTGATGAAGATAGGATGAAGATGAATAAGAATTAAGTAGATGAAGATAGATAAAATAAAATATTATGTGTTGATGGTGTACTATTATAATTAATAAATCCTATAGATTCAAAAGTGTAAAATTCGTTTAAGAAAATATCAAATGATTAAAATGAAGAAAACATAATACATTATATGGTAGATAATCAACAATATTATATCACCTAGTACGGCTAAAGTGGCTAGTTGAATATTTTATAAGTGATTAAAACGCGATGTTTTTAAATAAAAGATCAAAGTGGAACATTAAATTAAATTAAGAGACCGTGAGACTAATTAAACTTAAAATAATTCAATATCTTTTAATTTATTTTTTAAACTATAATAATTATTACATGTCTCACAAAATTATACATCACAATTTTGTGTGTGACACGGACAAACCTCTACCACTACAAGAAAAATCCATTTAATCAAAGGTAATATGTCAAAAGTTAGGCCCCTCACTAAATTAATATGTTGCTGGGGGCTTAACCCTTCGCAACACAGAAAACAAAAAACATTACATTATCAAGGACTTCCCCTCGCAGAAATTATGGAGGAAAATTTTTATTTTTGATATTGATCATTGTACGTGAGAGTTAACCCATCGCACAATAAAATGATGTCATTACTCTTTTTATTGGCAGACAAATGTGTACATTTGTGAAATATGAATGTTCCATTTGTTAGGGGGAACCGCTAACTAAAGTTTGACTGTGAGGTCAAATCACGTCAATGTCATGACTGCGTCTCTGCAGGTATCATCAATGTTTTCTCATTTGTGAGGGATCCCTTAACTAAAATCCTCCATATACATTTCCAGCAAACCACTCCTCCCACACCCAATACACATTTTTCCCTCTTCTTCATTATTTCCATATACTTTTTCCTTTTCTTTTTAAACCTTCAACAATTTTAAACAACACTTTCATTTTCTCTTCAAACCTCCAACAACACTAATAAATTTTAAGGTAATCTTTTATATTTTCCTATTTGTTTTTAATTTATATTTTTTATTCTTTATTTTCCGTGTTTCATGTACCATTTTATTCATTTAAAAGTGTCAAATTTCGCAGAAGCTTCAAATCTAAGGTGTATAGTAGTTTAATTTGTTTATTTATTTTAGGTACATTTGTTTTAATTTGAACATATCTAATATTTGTGTTTATTGATATTTTCAATGTTTGTAAAAAAATAAAGTTATACATTATTAATATTTATAAAATATATACTGTTATAATATTTCAAAAATCTAATATTTTTATGTTACAAAGTATATTTAAAGTATATTTATAATTATTTATAAATATTTATAAGTGTATTTAGAAAACATAAATTAAATTATACAAGTAAATATTTATAAGCTTATTTAGAAATATGAATTAAACAAAAATAATAATAAGAGGGGCGTAGTTTTCACAAATACTGAAACTTACACTGTTTTACTAAAGATTTAACTCTTAACGAATTACTGAGTGACCTAGCTTGCGCTTATGCCAATCAGATTTTATAAAAAGTATAGTCCCTGACAAATCAGCAATGTGATAGACTCTTTACTAATAATTTGCAATAACATATTAAACTAGGTGATTTGACCCTTCACAAATATTTGTTTTGTGGGCTTTTTTTTGGCGTTTAATCCTAAAAGAAACTTTTTCTTAGTTATCACTTATATTATATTAGTATGTAAGTAATATCTTCTATTAGTGATTATAAAATTTTAAAAAACATATAAATGTAAAGAATATAATTTATAGGATACTAGACGTAATTTCACCTAAAATTTAAGTGTTTTTGTGGCTTCTCTTAAAAAAAATCTAATTTATTAGTTTACATGTTGTCGCAACATTTCAAAAGCCACTTTTATTGTACACAAAATTAGAAGCAAGAAAAAACAAATTTTAACAAAAGTATTACACCTTATAAAAATACTGTAGTTAACTTTTGTGTTCATATACTATTTTTCTAAAGCGGCGATTCGAAAAAAAGCAGAGTTAAAATTTAAAATGACCAGTATAAATATAAAAAAAAAAAAAAAAAGAGTGATAAGAAGGAATGGAGTATGGGAAAGGACAAGAGAATTGTAACTATGTAATTGCACTTAACTTTGTCTCATTACACGTACAAAAATATTCTATTTTAAGGAAGCTTTGAGATCAAACGAAAACATTCTAGAATAGAAACAAAAGAGAGTCGTGACTCGTGAGAAAAACAGAAAGAAAAGGATAAAAGACATAATAAGTCTGAGAAAGAAAGAACCTACGTATTGAAGTTTTGTTTTGTTGAGTCGGTTATAAAATGTGGAAAAGTTGCGTATCAAAAATGTCTCGTAAAAGAGACGTGGAGAGTGGAGAAAGAACGCTTTACCCTTCGATGCTTGAGAATCCTCAATTGAGATGGTCCTTCATACGTAAGGTATACTCCATCATCACCTTTCAGTTGCTTCTCACCATTGCCGCTGCCTCCGTCGTTGTTTTCGTTCCTCCGGTTGCGCATTTCTTTGTCGGTTCCACACACGGCTTGGTTCTTTACATTGTTCTTATCTTTGTTCCCTTCATAAGTACGTGTCTTGTTCTTTTATATTATGTTATTTTAATTCGTAACACAACACTTTTGTTAATTTTTGTTTTGATGGTTTGTTGTTTTGTTTCTGCAGCATTATGTCCGCTTTACTATTATCGACAGAAACATCCTCTTAATTACTTCCTCCTCCTGATTTTCACAGTCACTTTAGCTTTTCCTATTGGGATAACGTGTGCCTTTGTTAGCGGTAACGGTTCTAAATTATTCCAATTATTGGTGTTTTTATTTGATATTGAATAATGATATAAGTTTTTCATTGAATGCAGGGAAAGTAATTCTGGAATCTGTGATATTGACTACTGCGGTTGTGTTTAGTTTAACTATATACACATTTTGGGCCGCAAGAAGAGGTCATGATTTCAGTTTTTTGGGTCCGTTTCTGTTTGGAGCTTTGTTGGTTCTTGTGATCTTTGCCTTCATTCAGGTATTTAGTCGACAAATAATATTGATTTTGATATCTGATTTTTTGTTGATGTTTGTATGTTTTAACATTGTGATTCTTTTCTTGCAGGTTCTGTTTCCATTGGGAAAGGTGTCACATACGGTCTATGGATGTCTTGCATCTATCATATTTTGTGGCTACATAGTATATGACACAGACAACCTTATCAAGAGGTTCTCCTATGATGACTACATTTGGGCTTCGGTTTCGTTGTATCTTGACATAATCAACCTTTTCCTCTCTATACTTACTATTTTTAGAGCTTCTAATTAAAGAGAATAAGATGCAACATCATATTATATATTCCTGGTTTTGTTTTCTCATTTCTCAATTTTATTAACTTATAACTATCGGCAATATATAACTCATATGTATTGACAGATAATCGAGTTAATGAATGTCCATTTGAGTACTTAAGATGATGAAATTGATAAACACATGCACTTGATAGTGATACATTGGATTGAATTTTGAAGTAAACAATAGCAATAACAAGATGATGAGAGGTTCAATTGTTGTATTTGTTTTGTTGTTGCGTGACGATTGAGAGAAGCCTAGAAACTCCTTGCGTCCAGATATCATATTCTTTTTGAGTTCTACACTCGAACTCGACGATTCCTCTCGTGTCTGTTTTCAATCCGAAGTAGTGGCGTTTTTCTCCATCTTCTAAAATATCTCTTCCTGGCCATGCTGGTAAATCCGTGCATACATCTAACACGATATCTGCATATTTAAGAGTACAAAGTTACTTGGCTTATGTACGTTAATACTAGTGAAAACAAATTAAGTTGTGAAGCTATTGGTACTTACTCTTGTTCTTTTTTGTAATTTTTCCTGCAACAAGTTTGCTCTTCATTTTTAGCTTTACCTGTCCCGTTCGATGTATGTAAACAGAAACAATTTTCCAATGCAGATCGCCTGCAGTTACAACCAAAGTAGAATTTATTTGTTGTTCAAACCAGATATTGAGTTAGTCTTAATAACATCATCTGTAATGGATGATAATGATACCGTTACGGGTGCGTTTGAGTAATTCACTGCCTTTAGCAAGTAACTCTTGAATGCTGGAACCTGTAAAATTATCTGCAGTTATAATTTCTCCACTGTCACTGGTGCTGCTGTTGCTGTTGTTTATGTTGTTCCCTTTTCCACTTATTGTCATGCCCCCTATTCCTTTCTCCAGTGGTGTTACTGCAGCAATATTCCATATATCCTTCTGAATTCTAGCTTTTAATGTCACCGCTCCACGGAGAGCTACATATAAACGACCATAAACACATGCATATAAGGCATATCTTAATATCAAGAATAGTGATGCCATCTCAGCAGGATTCCCAAAAACAAGTGCTAAAAGTGTTACCTGTGGCGGCTGCAGCAGTAAGAGTAGATATATCATCATGAGAACGGACATTCACGGCTGAGCTGACCACCGAAGCAAGGTGGTCGCGCTCAGCTCCCATTGCTTCAGCAGCCTCCACACATTGTGCTGCAACTAACGTGGCAGCGGAAGCAACAGCCACGTCAGTCTTGGCCATCTTCTCGTCCTTGTTTGGTGTCGATGAGGCAGCTGTTGCGGCTGCAATGGCTGCTATAGCAGCAGCAACTGCAGCCACGCTAATAGTAGCATGCATTTGAGCATTATGTGTTCTGTTTTCTTCTTTCTTTTTTTCTCTTCTCTCTTTCAACCACCTTCCTACAGTTTTAGGTCTTGAACTGGATGTGACATTGCCAATGGCCCCGTTTGCTCTTCCACCATTGAATAATGGGTGAATGGAATTGTTTGCCCGAAAAAACTGCAGAAGCATTAACAGGTATAAGCACAAACAACTTGGTAATGATATAGTCCTAACTTTGATCAAAGTTTAGAAATAATATGTTGTATACCTTGACAACATCGTCAAATTCATCTGAATGAGAAACTGGTGGACTTTCTGTTCCTGTTAATGAACCATTACCATTCAAAGGCTCACTGCTGTGAGATAATCTACCTGATGTTAACGGTGACACTTCCTGTTACATATATACAAACAAACAACATTAATAAAGACAATGTTCATAGTTAATATATGTCTGTTTGTTGATAGTATTAGTAAAGAGTAAACACCTCTCTTGCAGAGTGTGACATAATGCGTTCAAGGACGAGCTGTGAAGTAGCAGAGGAAGCAAAAGAAAACTGATTCTTAGACATAGTTGAGAGCTCCTCAGAGATAGAGTAGATACTGGTTTCTTCAGGAATAGAACCAGAACCATTTGAAGGCATGCATGATGAAAGAGGTGGTTGAGAATGAGTTGGTGCAATAGCTTTTGTGACTTCAAGAGCTGAAGCACTCCATGACCTTGACAAAAACTCCATAGGAACTCGAGGACTCTCCGGCAAAGGGGTGCGGTGGCCGCCGCGTGGAACAAATTCAGGCTGCTGACAACTAATTGGTTCCATGTCAGTTAGTGTGAGGGGTAGTAGCTCTTTGTGTAGGGTAGTTTTGAATATTAGTATAGAGAGGTGAGAGAAGCATCATGAGGGTTGTGTAAATATATATAGTACTGGTTTTGGCAGGAGGAATGAGATGATGTTGAAGTAAAAGCTAACTAAAGGCTCTTAGGAATGGTCAATCAAAATTAACCATGTGCTAAAAAGGTGTAAATATTTTGTTAAAGATCACTTTTAAATCTATATTCACACTTGTTTTTCCTAATTCACATTCACACGTGACTGTATTAAGAAGAAACAACATAGTGTGGTTTTTACCGTTCTTTTACAAATTCACTGCAATATTAAACAGAGTTAATTATTGTTGTATATACATTGTTGAGGTATCATGAGTGATTCACATGACAATCTTAGGGGAATTATGAGAATGATGTATGCATGAAGAAAAGAATCTAATGGAATTCTGCAATTTCCCACATCCCAAACCATATACACACAGGCACGACATAATAATGAACTAGACAAAAAGATAAAGGGTTGTGTGGGACAGACCAATGACTTTTGGCAGGTTTAGAGAATGTCCTAACTGTTTTAGTAGCAGTACTATGTCTGAAATATGTCACACCTTGATAGCCTTTCATGTGAGTACAGTACTAGTCCTACAGTAAAATCTAGTTAAAATTCATTAGTAGTTAAAGAAGTTAATGTTGTTGTGAAAGTGTTTATTTCACTTTTAAAAAGATTACAAAGATTAAGAATGTAATGTCTAACTGGTAGTAGTACTAACTGAAGTGATCAAAGGAAAAGTAATGTGAGATTTGGAAGGAATTAGATGCATGAAAACAATGACATATATATAAATTATAGGTTAATATCTACTTAAAAGCCAACCACATATCCTATACATATGTGGTCACGGTTCGGTTATCTGATACCATGTCTCATTCATTTATTCCTTGACCAAAAACAATGCTGTTTCAAATTATCCTACTCCAGGACCATTTGAATCCACCACAACAAATGCTGCAATGTCTCTGACTATACATCAAGAAAATTGTTGTCAGAGAACCTATAAGCCGAGTGATGATGTTCCTTCTTGTTTATAGGTTTTGGCTATGTATGTCTTAACCCCACATGTTGCAAATGCAAACAAAACTTTCAGCAGAATCCATTTTCTACACAACAGTGTTAGTATTGTTGGACACATAAAGCAGAATTCACAGAATGGGGTCTTGGCGTGCCTACAGACGTCATCAGCTACATTTTTTTCTTCAACTTTTAACATAATCTGATCAATGCCCTGTTAACAATTCAATGAAAAAAGAAGTAAAAGGAGAAGAGAAACCACAGCTTTTGCTTTTGGAGTTGGAAGTACTAGTATATCTTGTTCTGTTCTTGATAACTCTACTGACTAAAGGCTTGGGCTTTATTCCTTTTGCTTGTGTCATTCATTTTCTTAATGATAATTGATTTATTTTTGTTTCAATTGAAATTCAAATTGTCTTTGTGATGTTTTAGTGAAAGAGAGGTTTTTTTTTACTATCTGTTAGACCAACTCCAATGGGAGTTCTTAGAGTGGGTTTGCCAACATGACACTCATATTTGTTGTTTTCAAGATGGAAAAGTTCTTAAATATGCAACGGTTCTGTTCTTCAATGGTTCTTATATTAAAATATTAATTTTATAATATAAAAACTATAATTTGATATAAAATTTTATTTATTATTTTAATTATCATTTTAATTAAAATTTAAATATTTAAATTATAATTTTAAATAATATAAATTTAATATAAATAATATTTTTTAAGTAAAGTGGTGGGACCCAATATGGATTCTTTAGAGTTGCACCATTAGAGTGAAAATTGAATGAGTTGCTTTAAAAGAGTGGGTCCCACAAAGAACCTAAAAATGGGTTGCACCATTGGAGATGCTCTTAGTACCTTGCCCTAAAATGTCTTTGATAATTGGGCTTTAAAAATGTTGTCGTGAAAATTGTTGATTAAAAATTTTAAAAATTTGAATAATAATATCTATTATAATATATGAAATCTAATGTAGATTATATTTATCACATCAATTAAAATCTAATGTGTCATCTTTAGAATTGAATCTTTCAACAAATTTACATAATAGTACTTCAATTTTTATTCTAAAAATTATATGTTACAAAAATCTTATTATTAAATATCTTACAAGAGTTAATTACAATTAAACACATTTATCACTCTTTATATAATTCCCTCTTTTCACCTTACATCTCAAAATAATATTAAGTATACAATTTTTTAATAACTAAATTATTCTATTTTTATAGAGTCTAATATAAAAAATATATAATAAATACATTATTTTATTAAACTACAAAACATAACAAAAAGATATAATCATTCAAAAATAAAAATAAAAAATTGATTACTAAAAAAAGAATTATATCAAACATTAAAATTCTTACAAAATTTAATAATTACAACAATTTTATTAGTTGATCAATTTTCATAATTGATTTAAGTTTTATTTACAAATTAATAAAAGACAACTACTCTTCAACTTTTAATCCAAAAATTATATGTTACAAAAATTTTATTTTTATATATTTCAAAAGTGTTAATCACAACTGTTCTGGATTGGGCCCCGGGCTGAATTATGTTGGCCCAGCCCAATAACGTCCCGCCAGGGCCCACGCAGAAGAACCGTCCCAACCACGCCGGGCAAGAGAATCGCCCGCACGGACCAAGCGCCACCCTCCGCGGGCGGTATCTCCATACCATCGAGCAAGACCCGTGGCTCTCACACGTCCCCGGGTGCTCCCCTCCTCGGGCGGAACTTGCTCCCCCCTCTCGGGCAGGACTCGCTCCCCTATCGGGCAGGACTACGTGCCCTGTGCACGTTTTCCACATGCTCCCCTCCGCAGGGACACGTCAACTGCCCACCTCCGAAAGAGCAGGTCAAACCCTCTTTTCGGAGATCACGGGACAGTTGAACTAGGACGAAAACCACGTTCTAGTCTTCACTACGCCACGTAAGCCCTAGCAGTCACCTGGGTTGAGCCTGGCAATCCAGCCCAACACAAGTGACCGTTGGCCCAGCACTGGGGTCTCTCTATAAATACCCTCTTCCCCAAAAGGGTCAGGTAGTTCACTTCTTACCCACTTTCTGTACTTTGCTCTCGCTCTGCCCAATTTCTTACTTTGACATCGGAAGCGTGTGGCCAGCCCGTGATCCCCTTCTAATCAGGTCAGATCAACAGCTAAACACAATTATCACTATATAATTCAATATTTTTACCTTACACCAAAAAAAATAATAAAAACTATGCTATTTTGTTAATAACTACACTGTTTTTTTTTTTTGAGAGTCAAATATATAAAAATATAATAACTGTTAAATTAAAAAACATTTAGCACAAAAAATAAACCCATCATTCAAAAATAAAAATAAAAAACAGATAGGTAACAAAAAAAATGATATTAAAGATATAAAATTCCTACAAAGTTTAATAACTAGAATAATTTCAATAGTTGATCAATTTTCGAAACTAATTTAAATTTTATTTACAAATTAATAAAATGACATAAATATAAATATTTTGGTTTCTAAATATTTAAAAAAATCACGTGATTAAACTTTTTAATAACACATCATCTTATTATTTGATCAACTTTTGTAATTAATTTAAATTTATTTTAAATTTTAAAATTATAAAGTTCTAATGTATAATTTAAAAACACTATGTACACTTCCTCAATAACATGAAATATTCCTAATACCTACAAATAACAAACTTACTTTAAACTATAATTTATTTTTAGAATTTTTAATGTGTTTTTTAAGAAAAAAATACTTGTCATCACAGTAGTGATAACCAGCGGATGCGAGTGGCCAAAAAAGCAGTGTCATCGTCCCCGACAAATCATGCTGACCAACACATGCCAACCGCGGGGAGGAAACAAAACGAAACTGAGTGTCCGAAAAGCACTGATATCATAGGTACCTCAAGTGAAAGCAATGTGAAAGACGGGGGAGGAGGAACAACTGGAAAAGGAAACCCTAAGAAAGGAATCGACTGAGGAACCGACGGAGGCGGGGAAGCTATGGGTTAATGTACTCAGCGAGAACATAAATGCGGAAAATGGATGGTTATCGAGTACGTAGCCCCCAAGTTAGTAAATGGGGAAATTGAAATTGAGATTGAGGAAGAGGATATCGAATCAGAGGTGAAATCTTGGGAGTCTGCACTAATCATGTATGTCCTGGGAGGTGAAGTGAGCTTGAATATGGTTAAGCAGTACATGATAAAGACATGGAACTACGTCCAATTGCCAGAAATGTTTTATCATGATGACGAGTATTTTCTTCTCCAATTCATAACGCATAAGGACATGGAGAAAGTGATAATGAATTGACCATACACCATAGGGAACATGCCAATGCTACTGAGGGAGTGGAAACCTAATTTCAACTTGAAGAAAGATATGTTGAGAACTTTGCCAATATCGATTAAACTTCCCCAATTACCACTGCACTTATGGGAAAAAAAAGCTTAAGTATAATTGGAAGTGCTTTAGGGACTCCACTACTGAAGGATGAATGTACATCAAGCAAACTGAGGGTTTCATATGCGAGAATCTTAGTGGAAATGGGTGTTAGCAAAAGCTGAAAAAAGATATCACCATAAAAGATTGTGAAGGGACAAAAATGATACAATGGGTTAAATGTGAATGGAAGCCCTTGTTTTGTGAAAAGTGTTAAAAGGTTGGTCATAAGTGTGGTGAGACAACGCCTAAAATAAATTGGAGACCAAAACAAAACCACTAGAAGAAGTGAAACAACAACGCCACAAAACTATTACAAGTTCAACAATGGAGACTAGCTGTGGAAAGGACACTTAAGAGCATCATGAAGAGTGAAAAAAGGTGCATAGTAGTGGAAGAGATAAAGGCAATGGAATAATTCATGAAGAGACATAAAATAAGAGTTCAATGTGAGAATGGTTTTGAGGCACAAGGGATTTTGAATGATCCACTAGTAATTCAAGACATTAGAACATGATAATTGTCTGGAATGTTCGGGGGCTGAATAAAATGGGCAACCTTAGGGAGATTAGCTTCCGTCTTCTAGAGCTTCGACCTACTATTGTTGTTTTGCTGGAAACTAGGGTGAAGAGAGATAAAGCTTTGAATGTTAGAAAAAAGCTCAACCTAAAAGGTATTTATTTTGATAATTATGAAAACCATGAGAATGGTAGAATTTGGATAGCTTAGGATTTATAAAAAGGACTAGCCAAATGATGAATTGTGATGTATATGAGCTATAGATGGTAAGTTTAAATACTGGATTGTGAGATTGGATGGCCAGCAGCAGGGTCCTTGGTGCTTACTTGGTGATTCTAACAATATGGCTAAGATCTAAGAAAAGATTGGGGGAAAGATGGTAACTGACGTTGAATATGCTGATTTCACCACTAGGATGGAAAATTATGAACTCCATGAGATGGATACCAGAGGAGATTAATATACATGGTCAAATAAACATGTTGAAGGTGTCATCTACTCTAGGATTGACAGGGTATTTGGTAATGTAGAATGGTATCAAGACCACTTGGATACTACTCTTAACATACTTCCCTTTAATGTGTCTGACCATGCCCTGTTGTGGCTGAGGAAATAGGAGAAGTGCTAAGTCAAGAATAAACACTATAAATTCATCAACTGTAATATGGTATGGGTATGGAAGGTAATGCAGATAAGGTTTCTAATAGTGGGATGGAACCTATGTTGGGCAGACCTATGTATATATGTGTTATGAGAAAATTTGAAGAGACTGGAAAGTGTCTTGAGGAAGCTAAACAAGCCTCTGCTGAACTTACACCAGAACATTCTTAGAGCTAGATCTGACCTTTAGAAGGCTCAACATGAGCTCATGAATGATAGGATGAACAACTCTAAGATAAAGGAGGTTAAGAAGAATACTGAAGAGCTAGTTAAATGGAATGAGCTTGAGAAGAATTTCCTTATGCAACAAACTAACATTGAGTGGTTGAGGCTAGGAGATGAAAATAACTTCTATATCCATGCATCTCTTAAATCCAAACATAATGCAAAAAGTATGAGAATTATTTATAAAGAAGATGGGACCAGAATTACTACCCAAGATGAGATTGAAGAAGTAGTTTTGATATACTATGGTGGCTTAATGGGGAAGAGTGGTAATAATTTAATCTATATTGATGTAGCAACCTTGATATAAGTTGTCCAATTGAGCATGAAACAAAGAAAAAGTCTTATTGTACCAATTAGTGAACAAGAGATTCTGTCAGTTCTGAATGGTATATGTGATATGAAGGCCCCAAACGTTGATGGATATGGTGCTAGATTTTTCAAAGCAAGCTGGCAGACTATTAGAGGTGATGTGATTGCATCGGTAATGGATTTCTTTGAGAATGAGAGATTGTACAAAGCCTTTAATAGTATAATTGTTACTCTTATTCCCAAAAATACTAAGGATATAACCATTCAAGGTTTTAGGCCTATTGCTGGTTGTACTACGTTGTACACGATTATTTCTAAAGTTCTGACAACCAGACTAGGTAAGGTTCTTTGTAGCATAGTGAGCTCATGTTAGGCTGCTTTTGTCCTTAGGCAGCAGATACACAACCACATTCTACTTGCTTATGAACTGATCAAGGGTTACATTAGGAAAGGAGGCACTCCTAGATGTATGATACACCTGGAATTGGTAAAAGCTTATGATATAATATTGGAAATACTTATAGCATATCCTTAAGGAGGTTGGTATGCCAAACCAATTTATTAGGTGGACCATGCTTGTTGTCACTTAAGTATCTTACAGGTTCAATATTAATGGTAACTACACAAGAGTGATGCAGGCGAGGAGGGGGATTAGAGAAAGGGGCCCCTTTTCACCCTTGCTTTTTGTTATCATCATGTAGTATATGAACCAATTGTTGCACAAAATGTAGAAGATTCTAGATTTTAACCATAATGCAAAATGTGAAAGGCTGCACATAACAAACTTGGCTTTTGCAGATGATGTTCTGTCACTTTCTAGAGGAGACTACAATTTTTTTGGAAGGGTCCTTCCCCTTAAAACATTTGGATGTTTCTCTGAATAGCAAACAACTCTCTATTCATCAGTACATGAGTCTTATTGACAAATTTGTTGGAAGAATTAGAGCAGAAGGTTGTTGAGTTATGCAGGTAGAGTTCAACTCATAAAAGTGTATCTTTTGCAACAACTAATTATTGGATGTAATGCTTTCCTCTTTCAAGGAACGTGATTCATAAAATTGAAGTTTTTTATGTATCTTTTATATGGACTGGCAGCTCAAACATTAGCAGGAAAATCCATGTTTCTTGGAAGAAGATTTCTAGTCATAGGAAGTGTGGGGGCCTGAACATAATTGAGCTGAGCACATGGAAGGAATCTCTGTAACAAATATGACAATCTTTGGGTGAAGTGGGTGCATACAGAATTTTTTACACAATTGCCACAAGCTGAAATTAAAAACACCAAATTGCCACTAGCTGAAAAAAATTTACAGAATTGCCACAACTTCTTTAAGGGTTCGTCCTATGGTTGGACGACCCATTGAAGGGCTTTTTGACGCAGCATGGGTTCGGCCAATGGATGGCCGACCCTGCTCTAGCTGCTTTTTTTTTTTGTTTTTTTTTTGTTTTTTTTTATTTCAGAAATTATTATATTATTTTTTTAATAATTTTGTGTTTTTAATTGTTTTTGATATATTAAAATTATTTAAATAATATTATATAATAATAAAAAAATAATTTAGTTATTTTAAAAATAATTTAATATAAATAATATTAATTTCATATTATATAATTAATTATTAAATATAAATAATTGTTTTTTACATTATCTAATTAATTATTTATTATGTATTAAAATTAGTTAAATGATATTTTATATTACCTAATGAGTATATAAAATAATAAATTGAATCATAAAAAAAGAAAATATTATTAATATTTAAGAGTGGATAAAATACATTTTTAGACGGGCCGATTTGATGGGCCTGCCACGTTTGGACATTTTCTCCGCATATGACCGATTTCTCGACAAATCCCACATCTTCTCTTTTCTTTCTCAAAATCGTCCATTTCAGTTGTAATTCTTGTACTATTTGGACGCCCTTTCTTATTTCGTCGCATTGTCTCGTCATGGCAAAGAGTGAATCCTTCATATGTTGGCCAATTTTGCTGGTGTGGTAGTCCAAGGAAGCTTTGGCTGTATACTTTGAATACACTTAGAACTTTGAAAACATCTGGTATGTGCATGGTATGGTCCTGTCGTATACTGGCACATGCTGCGATTACATGAGAGCAAGGTAAATGAAATGCCTGAAACCTCCCACAATCGCACCACCCTCTCCTGAGATCAACGCTAAAAGTACCTAATGGTCGGCCATCGCGTTGGTTAATGCATTCGGCAACCATAAAACAGAATCTCTCGCGATCAAATTGAATGACGTTATGACTGCTAGATTTAATAGCCTCGTCGGCCATTCCCTTGATACAGTTTTTCGTGAAAGTTTGACCGGATGCCAACAGTTTTGTCCAATCGTGTCCTCGTTTTCCAAACAGCGATCCTAGACGATAGTACGTTGACTTGACCAATGCTGTAATAGGAAGGTTTCGGGTAGCCTTAAGTACCGAGTTCATAGATTCGGCTAAATTTGTGGTCATGTGTCCCCACCGCTGTCCTCCGTCAAACGCCCTCGACCACTTCGCTCTGGGAATATTGTCAATCCACTCCAAAGCTGCTCTATCTGTTCTTCGTAATTCGCCCCTGTAGTAGTTAAATGTTGCCTCTGTTAGTGCATATCCTGAAAATAATTAAACAAAATGATTAGTAAAACAAAATGATCAAAAAATTATCAATAAAACTTGTGAAGATGTAGACATACCCATGTTGACAACTGTTTTTCGTAGTGCTTTGTTTCTGAACTCACGCATGAAGTTTTGCGCAATATGTCTGATACAGTAAACATGTGAAGATGGAGGGAACTGCCACCCATTTTCAGGATCATCGTAAGCACTCTTGATTGATGGATGTCGGTCGGATATTAGACAAAGATTGGCCTGGGGGGTCACGTGCATTCTCAAATTCTTGAGAAAGAAACTCCAACCATCCTTTGTCTCTCCTTCAACCAATGCAAACGCTATCGGAAAAATGTTACCATTTCCATCTTGTGCGACAGCCATTAACAAAGTCCCTTTGTACTTGCCGTACAACCAGGTTCCGTCTATTTGCACGATTGGTTTACAGAAACTAAAACCACGGATACACGGTTCAAATGCCCAAAAAAGTCGGTGAAATTTTCGTCTGTCACCCAACTGGGTTCCGTCATCTGTAATAATCGGCA